CAAATAATATATAAAAAAAACAAAGAAATGCCATTTTTAATTATAATTTCCAAAAGAAAAATAATATTTTCGTTTTTGGCTTTTAACTCAAACGGCATTAAAATAAAATGAATCACGCAAGAAGACAATTGTTCTTGAATATATTTTAAAGAAAGTAAACCATAAATAAAAGGTGTGCTTGCTATTTGGAAAATTTTCATCTTGATAAGTAAAAATCGGCCGGTTCTGTGGATTTGCCCATATGTTTATTCAAGGTAACTAACGAAATCAAGTTCACGAGCCCTTGCTCGTGTACCCAAACAAAAGCGTGTGTAAGATCATGTACAAGATCTTGAGTTTTCCCTTACAGTTTATAATCAAAATCTTTAATGGCTGCGCAGTAGTTTTCTATGGCTTATATAGCTGCGCAGTTGTTTTTCGCATCTATGAACAAACCCAATCAGCACGAAACCTTGCTGCAAACTTGCAAGAAGCTTGCCGTGCAAGATTATAGTGCAAACATGTAGCAAGTTTGGTACAAGCAACAAAATGTCCTTTTACGGCAAGCTTGCACGGCAACGTTGGCGCAAGCTTGCAAAACTTAACACGATGCGCAGTTGTATACCGAAGCTCGTACGGTTGCGCAATAAATTTTTTAACCTCCATAGCAGGGTGCCCTTTATGCACGGAGAAAAATGGAGCTGAGTTTCTAGTAATAATTCCTATGGAATAGTAATAATTATATTTTTCTAGTAAAAATTACTATTAATTGTAAAATGTACTTTTCATGAAGTAAATATTACTATTTATGGTAGTAAAAATTACTAATAGTAATTATTACAGTAGTCACTTTAAAAATTACTACAGATGTAATGGAAATTGCTTTGCGATTTTTAAATTTTATAACGCCATTGTAAATTTTATTAAATTTTGTATTAATTTTTACATTCAACATTTTTTAAATATTACTCGTAGAAATTCTAATAAGCACTACTGCGGAATATAAAAATTGCTTCTGCAAGAAACAACTTTTACTATTGCAGAACAAACTTTTTACTCGAAAAAGTAGTAATCCGTACCACTACTACTAAACGCCTGTGGGTGTGTGATTACGTCACTACGGTCATGCGCAGCGATCGTAGCCTGACGTTGTTAAAGTGATCCGACATTTTCGGGTTAGAAAGCAAAGACAGTCAATGGTCAAGAATATGTTGCCAAAAAATGGTTTTAAATTAACGCATATTTTATAAATGAAAAATGTGCGCACTTATGTTTACTTGCGGACTCATAATTGTTTTTAGTTTGTATATCTTATATTAATCATATCGCAAATGTTCGATATAATACTCATTAAGTGTATTTTTTTCGACGATATTATACTTATATATAAGTATAAAAAATGTAAATTTCATCTTAATAAAAAAATGTTTGACAATAAATAATTTTAGCATTTTAAATTAATTTTTAATTCCTACATTTTATTTATTTATATCAATGTCCAAAGTATGCAATTCCTGCGTATATAATGAATATCAATTGATTACTTAATTAACTTTTAATTAATTACTATCTAATTAAATAATAAAAATAAATAATATAATAATTATTATACCTATAATAATAAAATAAATAAAAAAAACATAAAGAAATAAACTTCTTAAGATTTTATGTATATTAGTATTAATTATTATTTGCTAATACTTCAAAGTTTTATATACTACAATGTGCAATTCCAACTGTTTCATATATAAAATTTTTATAACATTTGCTTAAATAATTCTTATTTATTTTGTAGAAATATTTTATTTTATTTATTTATTTTATTATTATTATAAATTTTTATATGTTAATTTAATATCTTATCTAAATAAATACAATTTATGATTCATTTTATTAAAGAGGGGTATGTGGGTAAATTACATTTTTGAGTGCAGCGGTTGCGACGGCCGAGAGGCTTAGTGAAAAAGCGTGCGATTTAGGGTTATTGCGTTTAGATATAAGTTTCGTAGGTAGGGTTCTAATCCGTATAGATGTAAGATTTTCCGATATGTTCAGTTGTTAATTGTAAGTGTGAATATGTTTAAAGAGTGAAACTTGGGAAATAATGAATATAATACGCATAAAGAGTGTTAATTAATTAAAAAAATTTTTTTTAAACGCACTGCTTTATTTTTATTTATTAAAATAAAACGAGAAAATATATAGCTCTCTATACTCGCTTCATCTTCTCATCACGTCGTGGACAAACGCGCAGGCGCGCAGCTGCACACGCGACAGAATTCCTTTCACCCGTATATGTGAGGCGCGTCATTGTAGACGGTAGACTAAAAACAGGAGCGAAAGTATAAAGTGTTACGTTTTGTGACTGTATTTTTGACTTGTTTAAATATGAGTCCCCTTGCTAAAAATGTCGGATAGAATTCGGATAAATCTCACATTGAGGCCGCAATCCCATGACAGCGTTTTGCGTTGCGTTTTGAAACTAGGATATGCAACTCTTTTACACTCATAATTTACTGACAAAACACTGTCACGGTACTGCGGCCTGAAATAGAGTTTTGTTCACGCCTATCGTTAATGTATCCGGGTTCTATCATACTTATATGCAGGAACCTACAATATCTGTATACTGCCGCCCCAACAAGAATAACCGTATCTGCATTTAGGATGAGTCACCTACTTGCCACTGCCACTGCCACCAATAAGTGACTTAACCAAAATGTAGTTACTGCTACTCTTGTTGGGACGGCAGTATACTGTTTGTACTCGGTTTGTACTTGGGAATTAAGTGTCATTGTATAAGGTATCTATTTGGACCCTTTGGAAACCTACCAGATTTATATTTGGGTTCTATCAAAGTCATATGTGCCGGTCTACATTATTTCTATCTCGTTTTTCATTGGTTTTTAAGGAGTTTTTATTAAGGTTTCCATTCGGATTTTATGAAAACGATGAAGAATATGTTTAAGAGTTTTTTATCCAGGACTTTTAGAATCTTATGTATGGGTCAATCCATTATATGTGTCCTGACGCGGTGAAAGGGACCTTACGGTTTAAAAGCAAATTGTAGAGGACGTGCTGTCAAAGAGAAGCAAGTAAATAGGCGTAGACTGCACCGCCTATGTTTAAATGTTTATAAAAAAAGACTATTGCAAGGGGACAATTTTTGATTTTTGGAAATCAAACAGCAACTCAAAAACTATCAATTTTTATATAAGAAAATTAAAATCGACAAAAGCTAACGTTAAAGAAAGTGCTTTCAAACATGATTCAGAAAATGTAATACAAGAAAGATGCCTAAGTTTAAATGTTCATAATAAAAAATTAATTGAAAAAAATAATTTCTATTTTTTGGAAATGAAATAGCAACTCAAATACTTTCAATTGGTATAAAAAAATAAAAATCAATTTTTTTGGCGTAAGGTCCCTTTCACCGCGTCAGGACACATATTTCGACTGAAGTGGTCGCTGACTAATTTTTAAAAATTATAATACTTTGCAGGAATGATTTTGAAGTTATCAAGATCACGAAATGAAAAGAATTTTATTAAAATTTTAATTATTTATTGCAAAATATGACTTTAAAGTATATGAGGTGCTGAAAACTGTCAATTTTTTAGCCATTAGAAAATATGCAAAAATACGTAGAATTTACCATAAAAATAAAAAATTTTTTTTGTAATTTACTAAGAATGAATAAATTTATCATTATCAATTGATGTAATTATTTAAATATGTGAAATAATATGTAAAATATGATTTTCAAGTTCGCCTGTCAAATAACCTAAATTTGCAAATTTCATCTATTAAATGTGAGAAAGAGAAGTCATTAAATTGAAAAAAACCTTACCAAATATAAAGTACCTGCGACTAACTTTTAGTTTTTCTTAGCACTTTTTTCCTTTTTTCTTCATAAATGTGAAATAAAAAGCAATAAAAATTGGCACTTTGCTTATTTTCACTATTTTCAAATGTAAATAACTTTCTTGGAGAAAACTGAAAAATTACAAAACTTGGGCAATATCTAATTGATCACTAAATACACACACTGGAAAAAAATTCGCTTTGGTCCCGAAGATACTTTTTGAGATAATTAAGTTTAAATTTTTCACAATTTTTATGAGGTTAATACATGTAGTTTTTTATAAAATTGAAGTTAGTTCAAAATATTTAACCAATAAAACCTAACTTCGTCCTTAAAAAACTACATGTATTAACCTGATAAAAATTGTGAAAAGTTTAAACTTAATTATCTCAAAAAGTATCTTCGGGACCAAAGCGAATTTTTTTCCAGTGTGTGTATTTAGTGATCAATTAGATATTGCCCAAGTTTTGTAATTTTTCAGTTTTCTCCAAGAAAGTTATTTACATTTGAAAATAGTGAAAATAAGCAAAGTGCCAATTTTTATTGCTTTTTATTTCACATTTATGAAGAAAAAAGGAAAAAAGTGCTAAGAAAAACTAAAAGTTAGTCACAGGTACTTTATATTTGGTAAGGTTTTTTTCAATTTAATGACTTCTCTTTCTCACATTTAATAGATGAAATTTGCAAATTTAGGTTATTTGACAGGCGAACTTGAAAATCATATTTTATATATTATTTCACATATTTAAATAATTACATCAATTGATAATGATACATTTATTCATTCTTAGTAAATTACAAAAAAAAAATTTTATTTTTATGATAAATTCTACGTATTTTTGCATATTTTCTAATGGCTAAAAAATTGACAGTTTTCAGCACCTCATATACTTTAAATTCATATTTTGCAATAAATAATTAAAATTTTATTAAAATTCTTTTCATTTCGTGATCTTGATAACTTCAAAATCATTCCTGCAAAGTATTATAATTTTTAAAAATTAGTCAGCGACCACTTCATTCGAAATATAATGGATTGACCCGTATATAATAAAAATAGTAAAAAAATAATAAATTTTTACATTAAGGGGGGAACACCAGTTGTAACTCAAAAAATAATGCTTTTTTCAAGAATATTTTCCAAAAGAACAATGAATCTTTTTAAAGAATACTATTTATTAGTTAAAAGTACATGTAAAAAGCTGTAATTTAAAAGAAAAAAAAAATTTTTTTAACAAAAACTTTTGGAGATATGAGCCATTGAAGTGGCGTCTTAAGAAAAAAGGCGAATTGCGGTGACCAGCATTCTGCAAGTATACTTCGTCTGAAATACAAAAATGAAATTGATTTACATTTATTATAAGATTATCTAGTTCGTGATCGAAGGATTTAAAAAAAAAAAAAAATTTGACAAAATGGCGACCTGTCAAAGTCAAAAGTATGATTTTCGTTAAAAAAATACGGTCGATTTTCAGCTATATAAAAAAAAGTTTTGATTAAAAAAAAAAATCCTTCGATCACGAACTAGACTTATATGTGTAAATGAAGCACACTAAATTTTAAATAAATCGGTTTAATGGTATTCGAGTAATCGTGGTCACCGACTTGGAAAATGTCATTTTGAGAAAAACGCATTAAAAGTTTCAACTTACTTTTTTTTGTTCAGAAGAAATTTTGTTTCTAAGTTACAAAGAGTCATCGATTCCTGGACCATATAATAACTCTTCCGCAGTGGTTGCCGTTTCTAAATCATAGGAAAAGGCCATCTGTCGTTAGGGTCAGGTATGGCTGGCCACCTTGTATGAAGCCACGGGACGCGCCGCTGCAGTGTTCTGTATATCTCATTTATTTTTCACCGGATCAACTTTGAAATTTACAGACACATTTCTAAATATGTATACTTTAAGAAAATGCACCAAAAAAAAAATCGATATTTCGAAAGTTACAACTGGTGTTCCCCCCTTAATATTCCCAAGTAGCACAGAATAATACTTGAATGCCACGGTGATATCAGGCGGGAATATTCCTATGACATTCAGGAGATATCATAATTGAGGAGGTCAATCAAATAACTCGATTCGCGTTCGAAACATCGCCCTTATGGTATTTCGACGCATCAAAAATAGTGAAAAATTAAAATTCAAAATTTTAATTTTTTGAAAACACTATCTTATAGGGAATTAAAAAACACAACTTTTTCCCTTGATACTTTTTTTTGTAAAACCAATATTAATTAAATTAAAAATTAAAAACACAAAAATTTTTTTTTTAAATTTAATTAAATTTTTAAACATTAATCGTTGTTTTGAAGTCAAATGTTAATGAATTAACTTGTAATTTTTTATACAAGTTCATTTGGGTCAGCTGAAACCGAAAAAATCATAAAAACTTTAAAAATTATTTATTGCTTAATTATTTTTTATTGTAAACAGTGACCTGTCAGTAATATATTTTTCTTACTTTCGATGAGGAAAAGTCTGTGGTGAAGTTTTAAATTAATCAAACTTCCAGTGAGAAAGTTGTTCCTCGGTATTCAAGGAAGTTTTCTGGAAAATTTTAACAAAATTTATTAAAGAATAAAAAAGTTATGCAAGTTTTAAAGAATACTTCCTTGAATACCGAGGAACAACTTTCTCACTGGAAGTTTGAACAATTCAAAACTTCACCACAGACTTTTCCTCATCGAAAGTAAGAAAAATCTATTACTGACAGGTCATTGTTTACAATAAAAAATAATTAAACAATAAATAATTTTTAAAGTTTTTATGATTTTTTCGGTTTCAGCAGACCCAAATGAACTTGTTTAAAAAATTGCAAGTTAATTCATTAACATTTGACTTCAAAACAACGATTAATGTTTAAAAATTTAATTAAATTTAAAAAAAAAAATTTTGTGTTTTTAATTTTTAACTAGCGATGTATTCCTCGCTCGCTAACGCTCTCTCGGTTATAGTTGTACTTATTGTAGTTTATGTATATTATATATATATAATTTATGTTTTAAATTAATATCTTATTAATATTGTATCAAATTTATCTTAATTTTGATCAGTATCATTGAAGGATGAAATGACAATTGTTAAATATTAGATGTTTTTTTTATTATAATTATGACAACAATATTAATTATATTATATTATAATATATTATATTATATAATAATATATCATATTATATTATAATATATTTTTTTTATCTTAAATTATATTATATTATATTGCCTTAAATTGCCCCACAAACACATGGAGATTTTGCAAATTTTTGAGAAAAATGTTCGTAATAAATCGAAAAACCTTTTAAAATATCGGTTTTTATTTTTATTATCCAGAGTAAACCTTTATAAAGAGATTCTTGTTTAATTTTACATATATTACTTGTTGTCCGGAATTAAGTGCACCAAAAAAAGTTCCTCTTGGAAGACGTCACCTACACCTACAAAATTAAACTAAATACTCTTCAACAGTTTTATAAAAAATTTTCTACATAATTTGCAACAATATTTAAAAGAATTTTTAATTTTTAATTTTTTTGGCGCAATTACAATATGACAGATGATTGTAGTCAATGTAAAAGCGATAATTGTGCTATGTGATACAGGATGCAGGTGTCCATCTATGTTTTGAGAATAATTTCAATTCTATGAAAAAAAATAGAAAAGCAGATAATAGATTTGTTGTGCCGTATAATCCTTATTTGCTATTACTTATAGAGGGTCACATTAACATTGAACCAGTATCTTCATCCATGCATTCAGTCAAATATTTACATAAATATTTTTTTAAAGGACATGACTGTGCTTTAATTGAAATGAAAACTGTGGATAATGATATTATAAGTGAAAATATTGAATCAACTAAAGATTCAAATGATGTAAAAATTAATAAAGAATATAATGAAATAAAACAATATGAGAATACAAGATATGTATGTCCTCCTAAAGCAATGTTTAGATTGCTTGAATTTAAAATACATTAAATGTCACATACAATTTATAGATTAGCTGTTCATATTGAAAATGAACCAAACGTATATTTTAAAGAAGGTTCAAAAGAAGTTCTTAAAAAGAAATAATAACACTACACTTACTGCATGGTTTGAATTAAATAAGGTAGATTCAGAAGCACGAAATTTACTATATGTTAATATTCTGCAACTTTATGTTTTTTGTAAAATAAAAAAAGTTTGGAATAAAAGAATTAAAATAAAGAAACCTATTATAAGTAGAATGTACATAGTAAGTCCACGTTATCGTGAAAAATTTCATCTTAGATTATTGCTCTTACATGTAAAAGGTGCTACGTCATTCAATGATTTAAAAACATTTAATAATATAATATTGCCAACATTTTTTGATGCTGCGAAAGAAAGACAACTAATTTCATCAGATGACGAATGGGATAAATGTCTTAATGAAGCTTGTGAAACGCAATTTCCAAGAGCAATATGTGAATTATTCGCCTACATATGTATATATCATAATCCAATTAATGCTTGTGAATTATTTGAAAAATATAAAATGCACTTCTATCATCCAAAAATAAATCCTGAGTAAGGAGAAATTTGGGCTTTAAGAATAATAAGGAATATTCTAATAATGAATAGTTTATCGTTAAAAGATTTTAATATACCAACAAATATTGAATTTTCTTTCCCCATTTGTTACTTAGAACCATCCATTGATAGTGAAATTAAACCTAGAGAAAACGGGTCCTCATTGATGATGGTCCTGGAGGCAGTGGTATAAGTTATTTACTGAATGCACTTATTGAATTCTTCAATGAAAATGAAATTTCAATAATGTCAGTGGCATGGACAGGGATAGCAGCAAATTTATTGATAAATAACAAAACTGTACACACAACGTTTAAATTACCATTGTCGATAAATGAACAAACAATATGCAATATATAAATCCTAATACAATTGATGGCAAAAAAATTAAAGAATGTCAAGTAATAATTTGGGATGAAATAACCATGACTTCAAAGCATGCTTTTGAAGCAGTAGATAGACTTCCTCCTCACAAATTAATATTAAAGATTGGTGCAATTGTGATACTTTTAAGGAATATTAATTTAGAAAGAGGTATTATTGTAACCCCCACAGCACCGAAAATTTCCTGAAAATTTCCTAAAGATTTATTTGCAAACTTCGGAAACTTTAATTGCAAAGTTTAGAGAAAATTGTATAAAGATTTAAATGTCCAAAATGAGTAAATGATTGGCGTAAAACTTGACGGAAAATTTAAATTAAATTTTCCAGAAATTTTCGACGCGAAAATTGAGTTAAGATTTAAATTAAAGTTTCGTGAAATGTTTGGCGTAAAAGTTGACTAAAAATTTAAATTAAATATTTATTAAAAATTTATACCGAAAGTTGAGTGAAAATGTAATTTCACGAAACTTTAATTTAAATCTTAACTCAATTTTCGCGTCGAAAATTTCTGGAAAATTTAATTGAAAATTTCTGGAAAATTTAATTTAAATTTTCCGTCAAGTTTTACGCCAAACATTTACTCATTTTGGACATTTAAATCTTTATACAATTTTCTCTAAACTTTGCAATTAAAGTTTCCGAAGTTTGCAAATAAATCTTTAGGAAATTTTCAGGAAATTTTCGGTGCTGTGGGGGAGTACAATTGCGGAGACCATTTCACTATTTAATTTGAAAATGGAAATAACAGAAAATTAAAGACAATGTGCAATTCGATAATTAAAAAGTGACAGCTAATAAACATAACCTAAAATGCATGAGAAAAAATTTGTCGATAAAATCAATATAGCCGAGCTTTTTAGAAGGTAGATGGCAGCACTCATCTTTTTTCTTTCTTTAAATTTTTTCTGAATCGTTTTTATAAAAAGCAAAACTGCCATCTACCTTCTAAAAAGCTCGGCTATATTGATTTTATCGACAAATTTTTTCTCATGCATTTTAGGTTATGTTTATAAGCTGTCACTTTTTAATTATCGAATTGCACATTGTCTTTGATTTTCTGTTATTTTCATTTTCAAATTAAATAGTGAAATGGTCTCCGCAATTGTACTATTACCAAAATATCTGAAAAAAATTCGTTTAATTTTGAGTCGATTCAATTCGGCCATGATTGATATAAATTGATTAATTTTTATGCATCAAAAAATGAGACCGTTTCGTGTATCATTTCTAAAAACGATACACAAAACGATCTCTTTTTGATATAACTTATGTGCATCAAAACGTTGCAAAGATTTGATGCAATTTTTGTCTCAATTTTATACTTTTAGGAAAACTGTGTATATATAGGATCCCATGTGAGGATTTTCAATAGGGATTACTGATTCTTCTACTTGCCTACGACATATATATATATATATATACTAGGGGGCTATGCCCCCTGCGCGCTTCGCGAGCCAACCCCCGTCCCCCTCCTCTCTTCCCCTCCCCCACCCCAAATTTAAAGGTTAAGATCGTTTTAAGACTCTGAATATAGCCGTAAGTCCCCCCCTCCCTTTTCTTCTACGCCCCTTCTGTTGACTTACGGCTATATTCAGAGTTTTGGAACAGCGGCGGCAGCGGCTTCGCGCCCCAACCCCCATCCCCCTCCTCTCTTCCCCTCCTTTTCCCCTTCCTCACCCTAAATTTAAAGGTTAAGATCGTTTCAAGACTCTGAATATAGCCGCAAGTCCCCCCTCCCTTCTCTTCTACCCCCCTTCTCTTGACTTGCGGCTATATTCAGAGTCTTGGAACAGCGGCGGCGGCGTTGGCGGCGATATCTTTTTGTAATATAGGTAGATATATATCCCGGCTGAAAAAACTTGTACAAGAAAATGTACAAGTTCTTGTACATGTTCATTAATGAACTTGTACATTTTCTTGTACATGTTCAAGTAATGTTCTTGAACAAGTTCAGCATCCGGAATTGAGACATGTTCTTGTACCAGAACTTGTACAAGATCTTGGATAAGAAAATATACTTGTACAAGAAAATGTACATATTTTTTGTGCAGGTTTCATGTACAAGTACTTTTACATGAACACGTTTATGTTCTTGTACAAGAACATTTGTTTAAAAATGTTTTTGAAAAAAATTTGAAATTTTAATAAGTTATAATTATTAAGAATCTTCACTTATGCATGCTAAAAATTATTGCGCAGCTGTAAAGGCTTAAAAAAAATACTGCGCAGCCTTTAAAGTTTTTAATTTTTAATTTAAAAGACATAAGTGAACATGTACAAGAACATGTTCCACATCTGGTACAAGAAAATGTATATGAAACCTGCACAAAAAAATATGTACAAGAATATGTACATTTTCTTGTACAAGTATATTTTCTTGTCCAGGATCTTGTACAAGTTTTGGTACAAGAACATGTCTCAATTCCGGATGCTGAACTTGTTCAAGAACATTACTCGAACATGTACAAGAAAATGTACAAGTTCATTAATAAACATGTACAAGAACTTGTACATTTTCTTGTACAAGTTTTTTCAGCCGGGATATATATGACTTGGACAGTTAAAAGGGATCTTACGTCCGAAATCAAGTTTTCGAGAAAAACGACACGTCTTTTGACATAAAAAGCTCAAATTTGGTACACTTACCCAGACAGTTCATATTTAGCATATAAATGTATATTTACGTGAAAAATGAAGGGAAAAAAAGCGGTTACAATTGGAGTTGATGATTAATTTTTTATCAAATTTTTCAAGAAAAAATAAAAATTTTAGGGAAAAAATGTATTTTTCCACCAAAAACGAAGAAAATTTGATTTAAAGGGATTCAAATTTATATTTTTACGTGAAAATTACAGGATTAATAATATAATTTACAGGAAAAATATAGCGAACTTGATTCACATCGATTTACATAGCTTTGTCAAGGAAAAATCCAAAATTTCGAAAAAAAAATGGTTTTAACTCCCTAGCGCACAAATTATTCAACCCAGAATGTTTATTTTTGTTGCATAAATTTATTTTTGCGTGAAAATTATAGGGAAAAAATTGTGAGCACGATTGGAGTTGAAGATTAATTTTTATCAAATTTTTAAAGAAAGATGATAATTTTAGGGAAAGAAATGTATTTTTCGACCAAAAACTAAGAAAATTTTATCTAAAATAATTCAAATTTATATATTTCGACGTATTTTTACATGTAGATTACAAAAAATATATATATATATATATATATATATATATATATATATATTAAAAATTCACTATTTGCACGACGAATTTGTATCCTTTCGATGCCGAAAGGTTTGATTTTACCAAAACATACAATTAATAACACAGGAAAGTTACACAGTTCTTATTTTTTACAATATAATGTACTAGCTGCCGATAATCACTGCACTGACGATTACTAGTGCATTTACCTTATAGAGTAATTGATTGTCGAAAGTTTGTTTATGTTATTATGTGATTAATTTTGTTTATTTCATGACGTATGAAGCTATTACATAGCATTTTAAACATTGCCCAAGTTGGACCGGGCAATGTCGACAATGCCCGGAAAAGTTAAATGATATGAATATTTTTAAATTTTGACCGGACATTGTCAACAATGCCCGGGCAATATCGACCATGCCCAATAATCGACAATGACCGTAACATATATACCCGGCTGAAAAAACTTGTACAAGAAAATGTACAAGTTCTTGTACCATGAATGAACTTTTACATGTTCAAGTAATGTTCTTGAACAAGTTCAGCATCCGGAATTGAGACATGTTCCTGTATCAGAACTTATACAAGATCTTGGATAAGAATATATAGTGGAGATGTATGCAGAGGTTGAGACGGGGGGTTTTTTTGGGAAAATTTTTAAACAATAAAAATTTAACAAAAAGTTTTATTTGCCGTCCAGAACATCAACATTACCTAAGAAAATAGTAATTTTTTTTAATAAAAAATTTACTATGATATCAACTGTTGCAACCTGCATACATCTTTCCTACTTGTACAAGAAAATGGATATGTTCTTGTACATATTTTTGTGCAGGTTTCATGTACAAGTACTTTTACATGAACAAGTTTATGTTCTTGTACAAGAACATTTGTATAAAAAATGTTTTTGAAAAAAATTTGAAATTTTAATAAGTTATAATTGTAAAGACTCTTCACTTATGCATGCTAAAAATTATTGCACAGCTGTAAAGAATTAAGAAAACTCCTGCGCAGCCTTTAAAGTTTATAATTTTTACTAAACAAAGACATAAATGTTTTTTTTCTGCTGAAAACATGACACAAGTTCCTGTACAAGCTCATGTTCATAAATTTTATCACTTCATTAAAAAACTTTACACTATATGTGAAATTCACATGAAATTTGGTTATTCACATGTGAATAATCAAATTTCATGCTTAGGCCGCTGGATGGTGAAAGTTTTTCATCGCACGGTTAAGATATCTCAACTGTTTTATAAAAACTGAGACAATAAACGAATATTGTCACTGTAGACTCAGTTTGCATATTATGTTGAACACTTATGAATGTAGAATGTTTTGCCTAGTTAAATATGTAAAAAAATATCTTATTCCAGGTGATTAGACGATATCGAGAAGAAACTGATGATGGTTCCATTGTTTGGGGATTTGAAAATGATGATGGATCTTATAAGGAAGAAGTCATTGGAATCGATTGTATAACACGAGGAAAATATGGATATGTTGATCCAGATGGTATTCGACGTGAATACACATATGAAACTGGAATTAAATGTGATGAAGAGGAGCAACAAGAAGACATTTTAAACACTTTTGTAGACTACCAAGAGAACAAACTAGTATTACCTAGTGGCAAAACTATTGATTTGTCCAGCATGGGCAAAAAACAAGCCCGCCGTCCACAATTTACTTACAGAAATTAAATTTTAATTACTATTATGATGTTTTATTTAGTTAGGACCCTATTGTAAATTCCCGTATGAGATCCCGTATAAGATCACTTATGGTTTCTCATATGAGATACTACATGAGATCTTACGAGAATCCTATATGGAAACTCATGAGAAAAATCTAATGAGTATCCATATAGAATTCTATATGAGATCTCACATAGGATCCCACATGGGAATATGTAGTAGTTATTTTTTTAAAAAAGTATGAGACATATTTTAGGTTTTAAACATAAAATATTGTTGCTTTATATAAAATGAACTCAAAATTTTGTCCGATTTTGCGTATCTCTCACCGTTTTTGAGATATTCACAAATTTTTTTTCAAATTTCGACCCCATATGGAATCCTGTATGGACACTGATGAGATTCTTCTTACGAGATGTCCATATAAGATTTCGTATAGAATCTTGTATAAGAAACCATAAGCGATCTTATAAAAGATCTCATATGGGAATTAACAGTATGGAAGCGATTTGTACATTATTATTTCTTATGTAATTTAATATCTTCCATTATACATCTTATTTAAAATTTATTTTTATTATTAAACAATAATAAAATAATTAATTTTTGAAAATTCGAGGACCAGTTTTATTATTAGGTAATATCTTGATTTTTAAAGTTTTTGTTAGAACTTTCTTGATTTCTAAATTTTTCTCTTAAAATAGTAATTTTTCGTTAAGTAAATTTTGAACTGAAAATTTTGGTTTTAAGTCAATAAATTGTAGCGTTACCTGAAATCCAAAAATATTATTAAAAAAAAAAAATGAGATTATTGAGAAAGAATGTTGGTCCTTAAAGGGTTATTTATTTTGTTGGTAAATAAATTTTTCTATCTGATTAAAACTAAGAATCAAAATTAGCATTGCTTAAGACCAATGAAAATTTGTAGCGATAAGTTTATTTTTTTAATACCAGTAAAGTACGAAAGTATTCATCAATGCCATTATTCATATTATTGAGGTATTTATTAATTTGTAAACACGATATTTTTAATTGTTAAATTTTAAATTCAACTTCTACTGTTACTGAAAATGTTTTCAGTAAAAAATTCAAAAATATATTGTGATAAAAGTGTTTAATTAATAAATAACCTAAAAGCATCTTCGTCATGTCCATTAATTTTTCATGGAAAAACTTTCATATGTATAAATTATATATGTAATAAATTATATTGACATAATATATACAATTTTTTGTGATTAGAGGAAATAATTATTAAGAAAAAAAATTCATTGATATCTATGAAAATTTTATTTACAATTCTAAGTAACATTCAATACAAAATCTCGCAGTCTGTTTGGAGTTGTAATATTCAATCAATTTACATTTCTAAGGGACGATTAAGTTAATAAAAAACAACAATATATTCATTACAAATGAACTAGAAAAAAGTTATTTTTACTTCCTAAATAAGAACAATAACCATTTATACATATAAAAAGTTCATTAACTCATTTTTCAAAAGTAACACAACTTGGAAAAATGGATTTTCAAATAAATATATCTCTAAAAAAATCTTGATCGTTCACTAGAAATCATCAATTGGTAAAGATCGTCACTCATCTACATAAAACACTAAATTAAAAATTTAATTTAATAAATTTGATATCTCGATATTAGTGACGAAAATAGTTTACATCGTGCAGATGATTTTATAATGAAAGACGATCTTTGCATTTACAATAATATTGAAAATTTGTCCCGTAGAGTTGAAACTGTTAAGACAACTCAATTAATTTTACAGTAAATTATTTAAATAAATCACATGATAATTGTTACTTTCAATCATCTGAACCTGCAGATCTGTTTGTCTTCCGCTGCCTTGGACTTTGTTTTGGACTCTTTTGGGATTTTTCAACTGTGAAAAATAATTGCGTATAGTAAATATTAAATTTTATTATAAAACACATCAGGGTCTTTCATGTTAATAAAAAAACATAATTTTCCGAACACTTAAAATTCGCGCTTGACTTTCTAGTTTTTTTCGATTCCGTTGGAAACTTTTGTGGAACTGTTCATAAGTAATTTGTAAGAAAATCGTGTAATGTTTGTTAAATTTTTTTTTAGGTTTAAAAGATGCATACCTCAGTTAAATTTAGCAGCATATTATTTAATGATTTTACGAAGCATTTTTCTTATACAGGTGTTAATTGTCAAAATAGGTCTGTGGGGCAAACCGGCCAATTAATTAATTGCTTTAGACAATGTTTTCAGTTGTTATTAAAAAAAAATTATTTCAAAGGAAATTATTTATTAACTACATTATTGAATTGAGTTCACTAATATTAAAAACTTAACAATGTTAAAACTATTTGTTTTATAATAAATAAGATGTTTCTTTAATTGAACTTTAATCTTATCTTATTATTTCCCTTATTGGGAAGATTGTTCATATAATTTTTATGTTTAATGACGTTTTCCTTTCTTTTAATTATCTAGACAAATAAAAATAATAAACTGGCCGGTTAACCTCAGGGGTGAATGAAACCGGCCAGTTTGCAAATTTTTTTAAAATTGATGCAGCAGCTAAATAATACATTTCAAGGTACATGTATCTCTGTGGAAAAGTTGAGCAATTAGACCATTCCAACAAGCTATTAAAATGTTTTTCATTAGTTTATTTAGTTTTGAATAAATGTTTCAATTTTCTTGTAGAAGAGTAAAAAAAATTATAAAAGCAGGACAAGTAGAGAAAATTGGTTAGTAGAGAGCATAAAAAAGCGGCAGGCTAAAATGGGTTTCAACTTAGCAGCAAAAATATTTTCTGTCACTCAATTCACTTTAGAAAGAAAGGTGAAGATGCAACCTTCACTTTAGAAGATTGCAAGCAATAATAGTCCAAAAATCTACTCAACGAAAATCAACTTAATACGGCTCAAAATAATCGTCAGCAAAAAAACTCTTTCGAATAAAAAGTGTATATATATTTAATGTTCATTTAAATAATTTTCGAAGCCCCATATTTTTGTATTTTTCTCCAAGAAAGTTATTAACGTTTAAAAATAGGGAAAATGAACAAAGTGGCTATTTTATTTTTAATATTTGTTATACTTATGAGAAAAGTGAAAAAAAGTGTAAAGAAATTCTAAAATTTTATAAAAAAAACAAAATGTGAATCGAAATTTAACAATTTTGATAGTTTTTTTAAATAATCAGAAGAAAGGTGTTACTTTGATTCCTCAGAATTCTGAGCGCGTTGTTAAAAAACAAATTCTTATGGAAAATCTTCTTTAAGTATTATTAACAATTACGTTTTTTTGTTTATTATAAAATTTTACTTTCTAATGTAAAATATCGACAAAAAAGTTATTGTTTCCATTTTTTATGTATTTGTGAAAAATCAATAAAAATTTTGGCAATCACCCTGTGAGAAGCTGTTATTTGATTATATAAAGTGCATTTCACGCATCCAATAATATGTTTCATTCACTTGCCGGGCTTTTTAAAATCATCAAAATCTACTAAAAAATGAAATTCTTGAATTCTGGCAATTTTTTTATTTTTTTTTTTGAAAAAAAGTAGCATTTAGTACCTTTTTGCCAAAATTAGTATTAAAAAAGTAGCCTTGATCAAAAAAGTAAAAAGTGTGTCACTTTGAAGCCTGTATAAACTAAAATGTACGAAAACCAGTAACTTACACATTCTTAGAGTTTCCTCTGGCACCCAACTGTAGTCAATGTTATTCGGGTTGGAAGTGCCCATTTCAACTGGTGCTTTACGCGAAGACGAAGATCGTGATTTTCGGCCGAAGGATGACAGTAGTTGCTGACCTCCAACGAGAATTAGAACCACACAAGCAGCTAAGAAGACATAAAGAAACACTGTCTCTCCATCTAATCCTTCATCCAATTCAATAATTTGCACGGTCTCATTGTAGACGGCTTCACTGAATGTGTTGCCACTCTAAAATATTAAAAAATGCTTCATTATCACTGTTTTTTGGTTTAACTTGTAATTACTCAAACTATACTGAAGTTTAAATGGCCATTTTCATGAACAATTCGTTTCCTAAAACTTTAGAAAGTGTCAATATCAGTTTTTCTTAAATACGATTTTCAAATGGGGTAAATGTATCAATTAATGCTGATGCCCCAATTACTGCAATGTCTATAAAATTAGTAAACCTTACTAATTGAGAACAGAAAACTGTTTCAAAATGACTTTAAAAATTATTCCAAATGATATTTTATATATCCACCACGAAGTAAGAATAAGGAGTCTTCACTTTGAAGGAAAAATGTCCCCAAATCTGGTAAAAGCATTCCGGACAATTAGAATAGTCGGAGATGGCGTTCGTAATGGGAAAAACCTTAAACTATTGATTTCCCTAATGAAAGTCGTCTGCTATTTTTGAAAAATATATTATAAAATCACATAATTCCATATTTTTGAAAAATTAAGTAATTGAATAAATAGTAAATGTTAAATATGAAATATTATTTATATTTAAAAAGTCATTTACAAATTAATTAATTTCTTCTTTAATAATCAATTATTGTTTTTACAGAACGACGAAAGTTCGAAAGGTAGTTTAATTATACCTTTCCAATAGTATATTATTTATTTTGGACAAGTTAATTTTCCTACAGGTGAATTTAAGTAACGTCACACCTCGAAAATGTGTTTTTTTAGATTCAGCAAAATTGCACGAAGGAAAAAAATATCAAAAAATATGTTTTTCTTATTTAAAAAACACCTATTAATAAAAAAAAATGCTTCGTACGATTGGCAATTTCACTATAAACTGTTGTGATTTATGACATTTTGATTAGTTTTTAAAATGTTTTAAATTATTGAATTTTACTTAAATATAATTAAAAACATTTTTATTACATTTACTTTTACAAAGAATTTTAATAATTTTAAAAATAATTGAATTTCGGAAAAGTCATATATTCGCAAGATTCTTAGATCGCATTAATTCAATTTTAAGAGATTTTTAATGGAGACTTTTTTAACAATTAAATAGCTACAGATTACTGTAAAAACAAAAAAACAATAATTGATTGTTAAAGAAAGTGTATTAAAAAGAAGTTTAAAGTTAGTGACTTTTTAAAGAACTTCATTAAAATTAATAAAATTAATTAATTTGTAAATGACTTTAAATACAAATAATATTTCATATTTAACATTTACTATTTACTCAATTACTTAATTTTTCAAAAATATGGAATTATGTGATTTTATAATATACTTTTGAAAAAATAGCAGACGACTTTCATTAGGGAAATCAATAGTTTTAGGTTTTTCCCGTTACGAACGCCACCTCCGACTATTCTAATTTTCCAGAATTTTCTGATTCTGATTCTGATATCCACGAAAGATGCATATTTCGACTATTATCAAATTACTCTCTAAATCTGATTTAGTAAAAAATGTTTACTAAATTGAATTAGTGACTCACTTTTTGCTTCTGAATTAGTAAAATTTTACTAATTAATAGTAACTTTTACTAACAATTAGTAAAATTTAACTAATTCTAAAGCAAAAAGTGAGTCACTAATTTAAATTAGTAAACATTTTTACTAATTCGGATTTAGAGAGTAGTTATTCAAGTTTCTAACCTCTAATTCAACGCTTTTAGCGCTGCAGTAATTGGTGCACACGATGCGCAGTAATTCATGCAAACATGCACTAATACCAGTATATGCCATTTTTAAAAAAGTAAAATTTTTAATAAAATATTTGTTCTTTTTTAAGTTTAAAGTATCGTTTCTATTTCAATAGATACTAATAGTGATTTAACAAAAAGAATTAAATCATTATTTCATTTACACTTCTATTATTTTATCATTAAAGTCGGTCTTGGGTTGTACGTCACAGTAATTAAAACATTTACTCTAGTTGAATGTTTTTCAATTCCCTTAAAAAAATGACCATAAAAAATGAATGAACAAATCTTACAGCGTCTCTGTAATTCAAGTTGATATTTAATCCAAAAGGCCGTCCGGCAAATGTTTCAGATGGCACGAACGAGTAACCAAGAGTAGCCTCGTGGTTGGGTTTAACAATTTTGTTATAGGCGACAGTCGAGAAATTCTGAATGTAGAAATTGAAGTCCATGGGATAACGGAAAGATGTATCAACTGTTTCCACAATAAAATCGGTGTCACCCTTATTTGTGAAGCCAATCAAAAATTCTACTGGCACACCTCCTGGTAATTCTGAAAATTTATTTTATTACGTTTATTAGTTTTTTCTCTATTTTACTTGTATGGATTTTTTAAAATTTAAAGAATAATTTCTCTACCGAGAGTATTCAGTGGGTTATGAGCGGGTTCGATAAATAATATTGTCGTGTCCACATCCTTAGATGCCGTTATCGTATCCTCCTCTGATTCTTCTTCTGTTACCACTCCACTGTCCTCTCCTTCAACGTCAACCATATCATCACCCACATCTTCTTCTTCAGCATAAGCTACTCCAACGCCTGAAATTTATTTCACAGTTTATTTACTGTTTTCGACATTACGAAAATGTTGAAAATTACTTCTTTATAAAACACAATTTTTGTTACAAATATTTCATAACATAAAAGTAAAATAATAAAAAATAGATTTTTTCAAACTGAATAGGAATTTTTAAACAAAAATACTGTTGCAAATAATAGTTTTGAGAAAACTGTGTCAAATAGTCAAAAAAGAGGTGTTTTCGCCACGTTTGACTTCAAATAAGTAAAAAAGTTGATAGAATATTCTTTTAGGATTAAAAATTTTTTAATTTTTAATAACAGTTAAATTAAAGTAGAAATTCAGGGAAGTAATATAAAGTGATAAAGCAATATCATCATAAATGAAACAAAAAAAATCCTATAGTTGTTGAATTTAAAAAACTTTGAATAGACAACTAGCCTGAATAAAATTTCCCCGATATTTACAGGTTTTCCAGACCTTCAAAATTTATAAGGCACTGCTTAATTTTAATTTTATATTTAAAGAAAAAATAATTTTTTTAATAACATTTATAAATGAATATAAAATTAACATTTTTAAAAATAATTATTATAAAAACAAATTTAGAAGTCACGGAGGAATGAAATTTTTAATTTTCATGTTTCTTTTTCAAATAACGGTTTACTTAATATTAAAAAGTTTTCAAGTGTAGCAGCTTCTATTTTTATTTTTTATTCAAATTTAGGTAAAAAAGAGGATTTTTTAAACGATTTTGAAAATCAAAAATAGTGTTTTACATATGTCAAAGCTTAATTAAAATAAATTATATTTTTTTTCATTTTCCTTCAACTGTTTTAGATAGTTCCGATTTGCATTAGCCCATTTTTTAAAGGAACGTATGAGTACATATTTCCCACACTGAACTTATAAGTTTTGTGCGTTAAATTCCAAATTTCTATTTTCTAGAAGACTTTTATACAATAAACTTCATATTGAATCGAATTTCCATGTAAAAATTTCTAAAAATTTGCAAGAAACTAATTAGTTGCAGAAAAAGAAAATTATAAATGAACAAAATAAAACAAATATTTATCCATGAATATCATTTATTATATTTACACCAAGAATTTTAATTATTTTTTTAAATTAGTTATTAAGTTTGTGCAACTAGATATTTTAATTAATAAAACATTTATATTTTTTAATCTCGTCAAAACATTCAAAATTTTCAAAAAGCAAAATAATATGAATAAAATTAAAAAATTACAAAGAATATAATTTTTACAACAAAATAATGACTGCTATTTAAACTTAAATAAACAAACTGATTAATAATAATAAGAAATTAAAAGTAACAGTAAAATATGGATCTAGAGAAAGTAGAACAATTAGGAAAATTGTAAAGAAAAGTGAAAAATTTAAAAAAAAGAAGTCATATTAATTCACAAGAAAAACTTCAAAATTGATTTCCAGGTTAACAAATACTTTTTGTTAAAAATTTTCAATGAAATATTATTTTAAATTGAACATGCTGTAGTTTGAAGAGACGAATATAAGTTTTAAGGTGAATATATTTAGTTTAATATTTTACCTTCATTCACAGTGAAAATAACGGCCGGAAAGGCGAGTAAAATAAAGAAAAGAATATTCCTCATTTTGAAAAATATTTTACACTTTGTGTTTAATATAAAAAATAAACGTTAACTTGAATAAACTCTTTAACAGTATGACAGCTTGCATACAACAATGTTCGGCATCACGTTCTATAATGATCCAACCAACAAAATTCTCTTCCCCCAAACTTACAACGTGGAAGAACTGCCGACACAGCAGTCGTCAAAACGTCAACGTGGACTTTTCGACCATTAAAGGCCTAAGCAGAATAGATTCTTGAACGGGAACGCAATCGTGAACGGAAACGTAAGAATGGGTGAGAGAAGAATAAAGATATTTGCTATCCTTCTCTTACACATTCTTACGTTTCCGTTTACGATTGCGTTCCCGCTCAAGAATCTATTCTGCTTAGGCCTTAAACTCTCCTTGATCTGTTCTAGATAGGCTTTCAACATAACTTTCTAGTACGAAAGCGCCTATGGGCCACCCAAAGGCACGTACACATGTAGTTGAATTGACGGCATGCATGCACGCGTGCCTGCAATTTTTTGGTATTTCATAGCATTTACGTTCTGTTTCGTTTTCAACGTGAATGTCTGGACAGACTGCAGATTTTATAAAGAAATATTTTTATTTATTTCTTTAAATATTCTATAAAAAATAAACAAACAAAATATAATTAATTTTTATTTCTATAAATTTATACTCGCTTTCTGAAACATAACCTCAGAATGTATATAAAATAAATTACTTTATATTAAAAACAATAATAATGTTTTAAGTCATAAATAATATACATTTACAAATAAAAATTAATTATATCATTAAAAAAATATGGTCACTTACCTTTTAACCCTTTGTTTATTTTTATTTTTTATAGAATATTTAAATAAATAAATTCAAATATTTCTTTATAAAATCTGCAGCCTGTCCAGACATACACGTTGAAAACGTAACAGAACGTAAATGCTATGAAATACCAAAAAATTGCATGTGTTACGAGCGGAGTTACGTAAATAACGCGTAAGCGTAAATTCCGCACCTTGATTTGATGGTTTTACTCGGTGTTAATAAGGTTATTCAAGTTGGGTGGGGGAAAGCCAAGATGGTTGCTTGCTGGTGCACCTATCAGCCTATCAGCATTCATTCCCACGAGAAATTTCACGTGGGAATGAATGCTGATAGGCTGATAGGTGCACCAGCAAGCAACCATCTTGGCTTTCCCCCACCCAACTTGAATAACCTTATCCTTGAGAGGAAGCGGGAATATTGAAATGAAAACAAATGTAAATTCCGTGAAACGGAGTGGAAAATCCTCTTGAAGGAAGACAATTAATCAATGATTAATAAATTAATCAATTATTAATCATTCTAACTTCTAGATTAAAACCACATAAGTTTATTGAAAAGTTCGGAGATACATCGACCATTAGGCTGCAGTCCCATGGCAGCGTTTTGCGTTGCGTTTTGTCACTAGACCCTGAGTGTAAACATAGCAAACATATATCTGCATCTCTTTTACACTCATGGTCTAGTGACAAAACGCAACGCAAAACGCTGCCATGGGACTGCAGCCTTAGGGACGGAGGCGAGAGAAGATCTCCCTTCCGAGTGAGGTTAGAGCGGAGACACAGCTCTCGCTACGAGTCCAAAAAATCACCATTGCGCATGCTCTGGTATATAGTCTGCTCTATGCTGTATCCAGCATCACTGCACTGTATTTATACACTTTCACTGTATTAATCTAGTTCCATATATACTTATTTCGCACGTTATACAAGATTATAAATTAACTATATAAACACAAATCAATAAATAAGTAAATAAATATATGCATACATATACACATACACACATACATACACATACATACACATATACATACATACACGCAACCATATACATAAAACGTTGATTTAGAGATGATGATAATAACGTTTTGCATTAATTAAATTAGGATTTGAATTATAATATGAAAGAATTGTCGTCGCGAACATGAAGTTCTTTGTTTGCCTAGTCTGAGGCTTTTCTATATTTTATGAGCCGAGTTGCGTCTGGTCAACACGTGTTTAGTGTCCTATAGAAAAAGGAATTAACAACCTTTTCAAGTGGATTTTTATGATCTTTTTGAGGTTTATATTTCAACTTGAAAGCAAGGGAAACTTGGGATCGTATTTCCTATTGCCATTTTACCAAAATGTTTATTCTGAAAAATGTTTATTTTGTACATTTTGGGAACAAGAGTTTGAAAGGAATTAAAGCGTGACGGAATTATTTAAAATTAGTCATGCTTTTTACGAATATCTGAATAGTTTCATTTTAAGAAGAATAAAATATTAAGAGACAGTTAAATTAATTCTTAACAAATTTTAATATTAAAATTTAGCGCTTTGATATATCGTAATTCGAGATATCGAAAGTAAAGTCGAGCGAGAATACAGTCGCTCGTTACACATGCATGCAATGCGTGCATGCATGCCGTCAATTCAACTCGATTTTGATACATTTAGCCTATACGGAAGCTTCTACGCGCCACCACAAAACCAAGTTTATGCTCGATTCATTTTAGCCTCGCAAAGTTTTTTGAGTAGAAAATATCGTTATTTTGAGGTGGATTGGTGTTTTTCTTTGTTATCTATGTAATAATAAATATAAATAAATAATCGATTTATTTTAATATAAGGTTATGTAGTATGTATGCACGTGAGATATTACATAATAATTGTCCTGCTTCCTTTTCACATGTTTATCTTATATTATTTACAATAATATATAATGCTTAGAGAGAAGCAATTATTTAATAGGATGTTAATAATCCTGTGTAATTTCGTGCGGGCTTTTTTTATTTATATGTAAAGTCATCCCGCCAAGAAATTGCTTTATGACAGCTTTAGAATTTGATAAGCATGATAAACAATGCTTCCAAATAAACAAAGTTTTATGAAGAGGGATCAGTCCAAATTATTTTGAAACATGTTGTATTTTAATACTTAATATAATATTGAATGTAACTAACAAATTTTTGATTTACAACAATCACTGACACATAAATTTATGTACAAATTTTTTTACAAAAATGAATGTCTGACTGAATGTCTGTCTGAATTGCTAAAGTCTTTTTTATGAATTTCAGCCAATTTATAAAATTTTTTTATTATATATAGTACATGATATATTTCGTTTCTTATAATAGTGAAAAAAATAATTGAATTGTCGAAAAACTTCTTTATAATAATTGGAAACGCATTTGATGGTAAATTTTATAGATAAAAGTATTATGAAGATAATTGAATTTTCCAAAATGTACTCATAGTTAATATTAAAAACTCAAATTTCAATAGTTTTGAAATTGAAGTAATTGTAAGTGTTAATTGCTGCGACGAGAGTTTTTTACAATTCTCTTTTTTAGAATAATTGAGTTTTAGAGAATTCTCAAGAAAATGTTTTAAAATTATTCAATTTTAAATCTTTATTAAAATTATTAAAAATGAATGATTTGAAGACAATTTTTGAAAACAATTAAAATTTGAAAGATTATAAATTTTATTTTTTGACAATATAATAATGAAAGTTTTCAATTGAAAAAATTTAAATTATTTGATTTAAATTTATAAAAATCTTCTAGAATTTTTTTTGAAAAGTTTTTTAAGAAGTTAATATTTTGAAAAAATTTATCTTTCATCTTTCTTTAATGGAAATTATAAAATAAAGAAATTAGTTAGGGTCAGCTGGGGTAAATAGAAACAGATTTGCTATATTTCACCAATAACCTAAGTTTTTTCTTTTAAATCACAATACTTTCGGGTTTTTTGTGTATTGGGTTAATATTTCACTTCCGTGGAACAGTTTTATGTGGTAGTAAAAAATTTGGGTATCATTAAATCGCAATAATCATCTGTTTCTATTTACCTCTAAATTTTTCAACTTTGCTAAAATTTAGAGGTAAATAGAAATTTTAATTTGATTGATTTTTTTAATTTGATTACAAATTTTAAGAAGAAATTAATTTCAAGTATGCAAATGTTAAAGGATACAAAAAATTACGTAAAAAAATTGTATTTACTTTTATCTATAAATATAACTAAAAAGACAATGTTACACGATTTTGGACAAATTTTCGAATCTGGGAACGTGCGAACGACCGAACACCCGAACCACCTCACGGTTTTTCACGTCAAAAACATGGAAACAGCGAAATCACACACGGTTCTTAAAGGCGCATTCAGACCTCTCGGCTGCCTGCCTGCCTGCTGCAGTTGCCATGGTAACATAATGGGAGTGACTGAAACAGACGAAAAATTTAAATTTTCTGCTTCACTCACTCTTATCATGTTACCATGGTAACTATAGCAGGCAGGCAGGCAGCCGAGAGGTCTGAATGCGATTTTAGTTTTCGAGGCTAAAATGAATCGAGCATAAACTTGGTTTTGTGGTGGCGCGTAGAAGCTTCCGTAAGCCTACATGTGTACGTGCCTTTGGGTGGCCCATAGGCGCTTCCGTACGAACCACCTCGCGGTTTTTCACGTCAAAAACATGGAAACAGCGAAATCACACGATTCTTTAGTTTTCGAGGCTAAAATGAATCGAGCATAAACTTGGTTTTGTGGTGGCGCGTAGAAGCTTCCGTATAAATGACGTATTATACGTACAATACTGTAGAAAACCAGGGTTTCGACATTGTAGCCGCATTAATGTCAACATAACCTCTTTTTGTTATTTACTTTCCGGTTTATTGTTGTTAAATAATTATTAATTAATAAATAAACTATTTAAATATTGGTCAATTGAGAACTTTCAGTTGAGTTATATATATGATATTATCTTATTTGCAATAATTTCGTGAAAATTTTAACATTTTAAAAGTGCTTACGTTTTCAATTTAGAAGAGAAATACTAATACAATTTTTTTTATCAAAGCATCGATAATTAATTTTTACCAATATCAGAACAATTGAAAATTGGTAATTCGAAACAAGAAGACTTAAGACGCTTGTATACCTCACCGATTCCGAGTATACTTCTGTCGTGTACCATTGGAGTAAAAGAGACAAAAGATATTTTCGTCTCTTTTACTCCCATGGTACACGACGCAAGTATACTTGGGATCAGTGAGGTATACAAGCGCCTTTAGGGTTATGTTTCTCAAAATTAGCCTCATGTATAATACACATGTAGAAAACTCATGTATATAATACGTGTATATTACACGTAAAGTACCTTGTATTATACTCGAGGTTTTCTACGTACCAATCTCTGTTAATGTTCGTTTATGTTTATGTTTGTTCGAGATTGGTATCTATGTTTTGATGACGTCACTGCGATTGCCAATCAACGCGTCAAGGCCTGAGCAGAATAGAAACGTAAAGGCCTTTCTCCAATAGGATCCTAAACTCTTGCGTTGCGTATGCATTGCGTCGGTTGCTATTGGCAACCAATGCTAAAATCAACGCGTCAGTTACGCAACGCAAAAGTTTAGGTTCCTATTGGAGAAAGGCCTTAACCGGAATCGTTATCGTAAACGCAACCGGAAGAATGAGTTAGGCCCTTTCCAGAATGGAGCTATAAAGGCGTTTCTCCAGTATGATCCTAAACTCTTGCGTTGCGTGACTGACGCGTTGATTTTAGCATAGGTTGCCAATAGCAACCGACGCAACGCATACGCAACGCAAGAGTTTAGGATCTTATTGGAGAAACGCCTTAAACGCAACGCAAACGCGACGCATCGCAATGCTAAGCAAATGGGGATGCGTCGCGTTTGCGTTGCGTTTAGCTCCATTCTGAAGAGGGCCTTAGAGAAGGATAGACATATTGTTTGTATGTTTGAATGTATTATTTCATCAAAAAAAAATTGATCTATTAATCAAAAATATTGGTAAAAAATCAATTTTTTAATCTAAAATATTGATGAAAAAACAATTTTTTTATTAATAATGTTGGTGAAAAAAATCTTTTTTAAAGGAAATATTAGTGAAAAAAAAATATTATTTAATGAAAAAAATTGGTGAAAAGTTTTTTTTTAGGGTAATGACGCACTCACACCTTTTTGGCTGCCTGCCTGCCTGCAGGTTAACATGGCAACGCACGAGTGTAAGTGAGACAGAAAATTTGAATATTCAAATTTTTAAATTTTCTGTCGCACTCACTCTCATGCATTGCCATGGTAACCTGCAGGCAGCCAAAAAGGTGTGAGAGCGCCTTAAGTTCGGTGGAGTTGGCCATGCGGGAGAGATGGACAATTCAAATATTTTATAGAATTTTCTGCTAGGTATTGCTTATTAAAGATTAGTTCGCTTTGTTTTGTGGCAAAACCCAATTAAAAGAAAAAACTTTACGAAAAATATTGAAAAAGTAAGTAAAAAAAAAAAAAAGTGATGAGTTTACTTTTCTCACTGGTGTTATGTTATTTTACAGAATAATTTTGAATTGTATGTTTTTTCGTAAAGTACATGACACAAGCTTTGTCATAATCTCAAATTTATTCAAAAATTTTATTTATTTATTTAAATTTTAGTTGTGTCAATCTGCCTCCTGACAGTAGAAAAGATGGCCATGTTTTTTCGAGGCGTGAAAAAAAACATTAATTCTGTGGCAAATGAAATTTTCTTGACATATATTGCAACAAGACACTCCAACAAAGCTTTTTAAATTTAAATATGACCAAATAAAATAATCACTATTGTGTAATTAAATCTTAAAAACGTTTATAAACAATCATAACACAGGTCTATAGGCCTGTGTATATAGACACTTTGTATTTTGTATAGAAAATAAATTTTTTTAATATATATCGGAGTCGTTTCCAATGTATTTTTGTGTACTGAATACGATCCCGGGTTCCAAAATTGCGTATCACGTCAGGATTTTGAGTAAAGTAAGGGTAAAGTCTCCAAACACCGTACGTGTTTTTGAGTCTTTTCATGATTTTTTTCTCCTTAACCTGGCGAGCTAGAGACTTCTATATAGGCTTAAATTAAACTTTAAAACGTACATTTTAAGACCCATATGCGCATAATAAAAAAAATTTTGAAATTTTAAACCCCAAAAATCTTTTTAAGTGACTTGAACCTAATTTTTTTTATCTTGCGCATATGTGTCTTAAGATTATGTGGGCAAAGGACGTGAAACTTTCTCTGAAATAAAACATGATTTCGGGTTAAAATTTTGGAGAAATGATTTTGTTTGGTACAACGAATCTCGCTGTTCTACTCATTTACTATAACTTAACACAAAAATAATAAAAATAAAGCAATAAATAGTAAAAATAATGTATTATATCATAGTTCATTCAGCGGCCACTTGCTCGAATTGTTGCTGTTTACTGGAGCACTGACAAACTCAAGCAACGTCTGTATATGTGCCGACATGTTTGTTTTCGTTTTCGTTTAAAAATGACACTTTTTAAACTTCATTTTTAAATAATTTAACGCAAAGTAATGTATTATTCGGAGAACAGCGAAATTCCTTGTACCATAATCTATCATCCCTCAAAATTGTAGACAAAAATCTTTTTTCATTTTAGAGTAAGATACAGTACTACCAAAATACATTTTCCCATACTACGTCACGTGCGAGGTTCCCACATGCCCTTAAAGTGTAAGATATGAGCTTTAATTTAAGCCTATATATTTCATTTAATAAATACAATATTATGTTAAGTGCAATTAATTTTGAAAGTTTCTCTAGTGCAAGATGCTACTGCACCTATAATATCCTGTTAGGGTACGACCACAATGAAATATGGACAAACTATGCTTATTTATTACTAAGCATTTAACAAAAACAGTTTTATGATTACGCTTCCCTACCGGAAGGGTGGTACTGGATTGGTACTGGGAAATTGGAACTGAGATCTCAGTACCAACTCAGTACTAATTTGGTGCATTTTGGTACTAAAATGGAACTGGGAAATTTACCTGCGAAAAGGGCCCCCACAGCACCGAAAATTTCCTGAAAATTTCCTAAAGATTTATTTGCAAACTTCGGAAACTTTAATTGCAAAGTTTAGAGAAAATTGTATAAAGATTTAAATGTCCAAAATGAGTAAATGTTTGGCGTAAAACTTGACGGAAGATTTAAATTAAATTTTCCAGAAATTTTCGACGCGAAAATTAGTGAAGATTTAAATTAAAGTTTCGTGAAATGTTTGGCGTAAAAGTTGACTAAAAATTTATACCGAAAGTTGAGTGAAAATGTAATTTAAATATTCAGTCAATTTTTGTGACGAACATTTCCTAAAAATTTAAATTAAATTTTCAGAAAATTGGACGAAAATATTTGTAAAAAATACAAAAATAATATTTAAGAAGTATTAATATTATTATTAATATTAATAATAATAATAGATAGATAGATCTTTATTATTATTATTATTATTATTATTATTATTATTATTATCAATAAAAAAAATTTACTATCTGGGATTAAAAATAAAATAAATAATATACAAACATTGTTGCTCTGCTTTGATTCACATTGAATCAAGCACTGCATGCTTGTTGAGCAAGAACTTTTGAAAACAAATTATGGGGTGCTGGGGATTGAACCTACATTCGCCGCGCTCTAGCTAAAGACCCTAACCACTACACTACAGATATCTGGTTGTAAAAAAAAAAATCTTCCACACACTCTACAACTTACTGATAGACAAGTGATCCTACTTATCGACTCAAAAGTCGATAATATAAAGTTGTAGAGTGTGTGGAAGATTTTTTTTTCAGCCAGATATCTGTAGTGTAGTGGTTAGGGTCTTTAGCTAGTCAAGTTTTACGCCAAACATTTACTCATTTTGGACATTTAAGTCGAGTTACTGTTAATACCCTCATAAAAGTGAAAAGCGACTAGCTTTTTCAATATGTTTAAACTAAAACTTTATATTTATTTCAATATTATATTTGTTTTTCATGGATTTATATTATTTTCATACATTATTATGCATATGATATTTCCTTTGTCAGCTAAATTAAAAAATGATGTCCATTTTTTTATCAAACCTAAGGTATACGAGATAAATTATAACTTTTTTAAATGTAATTATTTTATGATAAATTTTAGATATTCATAATCTGGAAATATTAACGAATCTGAATATATATTTTTTAAAGTTGAGTTATGAAAATTACAAATTTTTTAAGCAATAAAACTCGGGTTAAAATTGTAATCCTTCAACAAAGGACCTTGGAGTCTATTGTTCAAGGAGGGATTGCAACATAATTTCCAAACTTAACTGAAATTTTCTACAAACTATTATGTTTTTTTTTGCTGTTTTACACGGATATCGTGAGAGACGTTTTGCTGTTCTAACATACCTTTAAAACTATTGTTAAAGTACTTTAAAAATGTCTTCTTATGGGTTATCAGGTAGTGGTACAGAAGTGGAACTCAAGCCAAGTCCAATTCAGTACCATTCCAGTACCTCTCTTTCGGTAGGGTTATATCAAAAATATCTCTAAACACTTTTTATGCTAAACGTGTAGTTCCGATTAGCCCAAACCTCCAATCTTTTTGAAACTATGTATATCCACTTATTTTGGTGCGCTGATTACGAAAATCATAGTGAAAATTGGCGCACAATAGATTATCATGGTAAAAACCATAAAAAACACCATAAAATTGTGAATTTTTTTTCGAGAAAAATCAAAAAAACCAATAAAAAAAACATGAAAGATAATGGAGAAACAATGCACATCATAACTAGAGAGAAATTTGGATCCAACCCGACTTAGTCTGCAGAATACTTTCGACCATATCCGACCTCTCTCGCCAAGGTGTCTTTAAAATACATGCGAGCAAAGCTATTCACCCATATCCAACCCCTCTCGCCAAAGTGTCTTTAAAATACATGCACTGAAAGAAATTTCATAGGAAAAAATAACAAAATGCGTATTACATTTTAATATATTCTTTTAGAATTTAGGGAAAAGTGTACTTTTTATTAAAATTCAATATACTTTATATTAAAGTTCCAACTTAAAATCTTTTTTCAAATATTAATAATTATTGTAGAAAGAACGTAAAAAGATTACCAATATTTGAAAATATTATATTAAATTTCTATAGAAGAACTAAAATGAACTTTCAAAAACTCATAGAGTTGTTGCATTATATGGAATGTAGCGTTCTAATATTTGTAAAACTTTATACGAAAAATTCAGAATGTCGGAAGAAAAGGGAAAAAAAGCGGAAACTCGGACGTTTCCGTTAATTCTCGGGAGGAAGAGGAGTGAGACTAGGAACAACACATTCACACTTACGATACAGGTTAATACACATACTAATGAACACGCACGTTCATTTCGCTTATACATAGACATTACACGATCGCAACGAAACCTACACTTACAATTCTATACGCATAACGATAAATTTCGCTGGGGGTCGGCATATATCGTTTTCTTATATACTAACTACTGAATATTTTTACCACTTGCGAGAAAGAAGTTTACTTATAATAACTTAATAATAAAAAATAGTTTACTAGTGCCAATGGTGTAATTTTATGGAGGTTACGCTGGGTTCATTTTTATTATTAATTGTTTATATAGATTTTTCTTTTTTTTCAAATTAAAAATTATGATTGTTATAAAAATTTTTATTGCAAATAAAAATTAAATAATTGTAAAGATGACATCAAAAAATAAAAATTAATAAAAATAATAATAAATTTAATAATTAATAATAAATTTATTATTATTAAATAACTTTAATAAAACATTTTTTATAAATTGAAAATAAATTAGGTACGTTCTGCTGAAACAACACTTTCGAAAATCGGATCAAGTCGTAGAAGTTCGAGTAGGACACGAAGCCGCAAACAGACAGAACTTCGGTTAAATTCGTAGTCTCTCGGGAAAATCCGTGACTTTTAATATAAAGTTTTACAAAATGTGAAATAAGTATACGGATATATGTTATTTTTCTTACTATTTTGTGAAATTATTTATTATAATATTTCGTATTCTGTGAATTCATAAAGAAAATACTAATTTTTAAAATAAATATACTAATTCTTATTTCTTAAAATAATAGTTACTCTTAAATTCATTATATATTTTCATAAAAACTGTAATAGTAATCAGTATAGGTGCACTTTTTCCCTAAATTGTAACATTTATATTAAACTCTAAAATATGAGTTTAATACTTAGTAGTATGAATTTTCTTTCAGTGTGCGAGCAAAAAACGCAACGCGGCTGTAGGCCTCGTAACTTCCTCTGCCGCAGAATACTTTCGCTCATATCCAACCCCTCTCGCAAAGGTGTCTTTAAAATACATGCGAAACTATATCCTAAAATACTGTATACACTGAAAGAAAATTCATACTACTAAGTATTAAACTCATATTAGAGTTTAATATAAATGTTACAATTTAGGGAAAAAGTGCACCTATACTGATTACTATTACAGTTTTTATGAAAATATATAATGAATTTAAGAGTTTTTATTATTTTAAGAAATAAGAATTAGTATATTTATTTTAAAAATTAGTATTTTCTTTATGAATTCACAGAATACGAAATATTATAATAAATAATTTCACAAAATAGTAAGAAAAATAACATATATCCGTATACTTATTTCACATTTTGTAAAACTTTATATTAAAAGTCACGGATTTTCCCGAGAGACTACGAATTTAACCGAAGTTCTGTCTGTTTGCGGCTTCGTGTCCTACTCGAACTTCTACGACTTGATCCGATTTTCGAAAGTGTTGTTAACCAGCAGAACGTACCTATCAACTGTCAACACACGTGTTTCAAATGTTTATAGTGCCACAGAAAACATTTATAATTATTA